ACTTTGATTTTTGTGTCTAGCTTTTAGCTTTTCGCTTCTAGTCATGCTTTTTAGTTACATGCTTTTTAGCCAGCACTTCTTAGCACTTTTGAGCGTGCTCTGGCTTGCACGCCAGCCCCTCCAAAACCATGAGGAGAAACGCCACCTAGTCTCATCAAACTTTACATCTATTTCTTTTCTTTAGTTTATTTTATTTTCCGTTGAGAGTTTCGTGTTCTTCTGAGTTAAGTTTTGCCTAACGCCGTGCGGGGCCGTCTAAACCTCAACTTCAGACCACAGCTCCACGTCGTCAGCCAACGCCCAATCACTGGCTTCCCAAGACTGAACTTCCAGCCAATCAGCGGCCGCGGGAAACCCCTTTCGGCAACCAGACAACGAAGGGAACCCCGCACACAGGAAAGCAAGTACCTCCAGATCCTTGCTGAACTGGTGCATTTAATATAAATTTTAACCTCATTGAGCAAACTCAATGCGAGGGTTAACTAAGTGATTGATGGTTGTTCAGATCTATGCAATTGCACATATTGCTGTAAACTTGGGATTTCACATTTTCATTCTCTTAAACTAATTATTTCCTCACTTTCTCTCTTTCTGCAACTTGTGTGAATGCGTGTGTTAGATTAGTTTATATGTCTTAGATTTATCCAATAAAGCCTTATTTATATTGAAAAGAGAAGTATCTCGTGTTTTGTGCTCACAAGTTAATGTCTTAAACTGCAGATCTTGTTACTATGCTAATTAATAGTGTTTTCACTATATTTTGGATATAAATATCCATTGCAGAATTGATGTTATCAAAGTGATCAGCCATAAAACAGTGATTCTGTCCTAATTCCCTTACATATTATTGGTGGAGTTCCCTTTAAAATCTTAAATGATTCCCTTTGAGCTAAATTGACCTGTTTCCCTTACAGAACATACTCTAGATTTATGTCTTTGACCATTTTCAGAATCAGAATCAGAATGAGTTTTATTGCCAGGTATGTTTACACATACGAGGAATTTGTTTTCGTTACAGAAGCTTCCACAGTGTAACAGAATGACAGTGACAAAACAAAAAACACAGAAAATAAAATATTTGCTTTTTGCCTTTTTTTAAAATGTTTATAACGTATCAAGAGACACATTCATTCTGGTCAGCATTACTCTCACTGATCGTTTGGTCTGAAGAGTAAATAATTCTTTAAAGAAGTTTGTAATAGTTACATACTCATGTAAAGGATGGAATACACTACAAGACAGATTTTAAAACACTAGGCAACATACACTACCAGACTTTAAAGTTGTTCTGATCACAATAAACTACCGTAGAAACGTGCACCTTGTTGCTAGGAGACGAGTGACAAATGAAAACAATATGCATTCTAAAATCGTCTTAAAATATCAAACATGTTTGATCCTCCGACTGGATAGAATCATAGTCTGAGGCTAAAAAAATGGGAGTCTGTGACCATGAGATTTTCTATTAAATCTGTCAACTCAAATCTTAATTTGAGGGCAAAAATAGTGTAGTGTATTCCAGCCTTAAATGAAAACTTCTCTTCAAGTTGAACTTTTATCAATAGCATATATTGAACTTCTGGTCTCCTGGTCTCCTCTGTACGTACCATCCTGCTCAAAACTTGCGTTTGAATCATCAGTGGCAAATTCTTTAAATATGAAAATGTACTTAGAGACTGTGAGTCAGAACAGCTGGCATTGTAGTCTAACGTTACTCTCCCAGGATCAAGAAACAGTCCTCCATAAAATGCACAGCACACATCTGACTTTTTTTGGGTTGAACTGTTCTGGAACAGTGTTGTAAATACAACTTAACCACTGATTTGTATTCGTGTCCTCTTTTGGAAGGCCAAACAAAGTAGTTTCGCTTTCACAACGAAACACACAGCGTCTTCGCAACATGGCGGCAGCGCCAGCAGCAATAAAGTTTGGGTGGTGTTATGCAAATCTTCCCACACAGTGATGTAGCCATGTGGGGGCGTGTTTAAACGAGGTGTTTTAGGAGGGCGTGGACCAGTCTTAACTTTTATAAAGAATATCTCTTTGGGTTTGAGACTTTAGTCTTTGCAACTTTAGGGATCTTATCTATTCACAAACAGCTTGTAACAACACTCCAAAGAAAAGGAAAACTTGAAATCACATCATATGACCCCTTTAAAAGTACCAACGCACAATGCTTATTGCGATTTATTGGATGGGAAGTGTCATTCAATGTTCCGTCCATTAACTGAAAACAGGCTAGACTAATCGATTCTTGGGATTTAAGAATCGATATTGTTTCATAAAAATGAGAATCGATTAAAATCGAGATATCAATATTTTTAACCCAGCCCTAGTAAATAGCATATCGCTAAGAAAATACTGCTATTTTCACTTAGTGTAAATAGCATCCAACTAAGATTAATAAATGCTGTAGAAGTGTTGTTCATTATTTGTTCATGTTAACTAATGTTAGCCTAACTAATGAAGTCTTTCCAAAATATTGTTCAAATTGTTACTGCCTTTCTTTATTATTTTGGAATAAAGGTAAAAATGCATAAAACACTGTGAAATGTATAATTATTATTTAAAATATTAAATAAAATAAAAATAATGTTAATAAAATACAAAATATAATTATTTTTGTTCTCTCTTTTTATGTAGTGTTTATTTAACCAAGAAAATGCGAAAACATTAAGTATAATAGGGACATGAATTTATATATATAAACTAATATAATTAACTCCAAGCCTCCTGTTGTACCCATTCTGTGACGCCAAACAACTTCCCTGCATAAAAGGATCATGGGGTACCGAAGTGTCCATCAGTTGTTGTCTTCGAAATAATTCATTCTGAAGGGCCCTTTGAAGTGGCCAATTTTAAGCACTTCGGTTTGGAACGACCTTTCAATATGGCGGCCATGATTGTTTTCACTCCGAAGTGCCCTTCGTAGGCCGATATCCACTTGTTAAATGTTAATAAAATACAAAATATAATTATTTTTGTTCTCTCTTTTTATGTAGTGTTTATTTAACCAAGAAAATGCGAAAACATTAAGTATAATAGGGACATGAATTTATATATATAAACTAATATAATTAACTCCAAGCCTCCTGTTGTACCCATTCTGTGACGCCAAACAACTTCCCTGCATAAAAGGATCATGGGGTACCGAAGTGTCCATCAGTTGTTGTCTTCGAAATAATTCATTCTGAAGGGCCCTTTGAAGTGGCCAATTTTAAGCACTTCGGTTTGGAACGACCTTTCAATATGGCGGCCATGATTGTTTTCACTCCGAAGTGCCCTTCGTAGGCCGATATCCACTTGTTAAGTCTGACGTCATGCATCACCACTTCCGCGTCCAAACGCTCTATCAGATACCATGAGAAAACAACAAAATGTGCTAATATACACTCACAATGTGATATAATACTACCAAAAAATTATAATCCTAACCTTTAACTCCATACCAAAATCCCAGATAGCCAGACAATGAAAATATAAATCTAAATAAATAAACACAAAAGTTATTTGTGTTTGGGACGCTGTGAGCATGGAGACTGTAGTGTACATCGTAAGTTTGAAAACGTTTAGCTTAAATGTTTAATATGAATGAACAGTGCTCATAAACGGCTGTTGAGGTAGTATTCTCAAGTGAAGCCAGTTGATGCTTGGACCCGGAAACTGCTTCTTACGTCACCACTTAACAATCGGATATCCCGTATGGAGCGCACCTACAGGCAAATGCTTTGAAAGAATCTTCACCAGTCGTTTGAATGAATCGGTTGAATCTCAATTAATTAACAGTCACTTGCTGCCACCTACTGGCGGTTTTAATTTCACATTTCGACTATTTTTTTGTTTATCAACATTTATGTTTAAAACAAAGCATTATTTATGCATTTGTAACTGCAGGTTAAATGCATCCGTGACCCCTCTGAGTTAAACTGTGCAGATTCCACAAATGCTTTCTTGTGTTTCTTGTGAATTAAAGACACTAAGTACCGGATGAAGTGCTGCTTATTCTTACCCAAAGATACAAAATGGAAGAACTCTTGCTACTCAAGCAGTGTATAAACATTTTTTATATATATTTATTTGCTCCTTTTCCCTTTTGCATTTACTTGTACTTTTACTTTCAATACTTAAGTACATTTAATATATAAAAAAAACTTTTCATACTTAAGTACAATAAATATCACATACTTTAAGACTGTTACTCAAGTAATATTATAAATGGCGACTTCAACTTCTACCAAAGTCATTTTCTGGTAAGATATCTGTACTTTTACTTAAGTATGGCTTTCAGGTACTTTATACACCACTGCTTTTATTGTGTCTGTCTGGTTGGACACGGTGTTAGCAGAAAAGATTCAATTAATTACATCTCATAACTAAATAAATCAACTGCAGTCCTGACCTAAAGAATAGCTTGGGACGCTATCTGCCAGAAATTATTTGTTAGCATTAACAAGTGTTTCTCCTGTCATGACTCTGGAGGTTTAAGGTCAACATTTGTAGGCAAGTTGTATTTTTAGGAAAGATGTATCAGATGTAAATGAAGTACTGTGTTCATCTGATATTTTATTATGATTTGAATGTACCGATTCCAGTGATGTTACTTAAATGAGTTTAATGAATGGTTTCTCTCATGTTTGCATCCTCAAATTTAAAATTGTCCAGATGATCAAAATCACCAGGGATTGTGTGTGGTCCATCAGCTTAAATCTTCCAATGAGCACTACTGCTGAAGCGCATTACGCAATACGTCGTCTCTGTGGAGAAATATTTCAAATGAACTAGGAAAATGAATTACTGCTAGGAATAAATTAATCATTAATCAAATACATTTAATTAATCTTATGTTATTAAAGTTATGTAAAGCTTTTGACACATTAACTGCATTGCAGATACACATTTTCACCACCAAATTCCCCATTTCAACCATGCATTATGTACGAATATATATTATTTGTTCAGTTGATAATTTGTGTTACACAGCACATCTAAATGATTACAGTAAAAGGTGTTTCACCCACTGATCTTTTAGTTTGAGGTCTTGCAAACAGGAAATTACAGAGCCAGGCTCAGTACAGGTGCATCTCAATAAATTAGAATGTCGTGGAAAAGTTCATTTATTTCAGTAATTCAACTCTAATTGTGAAACTCGTGTATTAAATACATTCTATGCACACAGACTGAAGTAGTTTAAGTCTTTGGTTCTTTTAATTGGGATGATTTTGGCTCACATTTCACAAAAACCCACCAATTCACTATCTCAACAAATTAGAATACTTCATTAGACCAATAAAAAAAAACATTTTTAGTGAATTGTTGGCCTTCTGGAAAGTATGTTCATTTACTGTACATGTACTCAATACTTGGTTGGGCCTCCTTTTACATGAATTACTGCATTACTGCTGAGGTGGTATGGAAGCCCAGGTTACTTTGATAGCGGCCTTCAGGTCATCTGCATTGTTGGGTCTGGTGTCTCTCATCTTCCTCTTAACAATACCCCATAGATTCTCTCTGGGGTTCACGTCAGGCGAGTTTGCTGGCTGCGTTGACTGTGGACTTCAGAAAACACAGTGGACCAAAGTCCTCTTTTCAGATGAAAGTAAATTTTGCATTTCATTTGGAAATCAAGGTCCCAGAGTCTGGAGGAAGAGTGGAGAGGCACAGAAACCATGTTGCTTGAAGTCCAGTGTGAAGTTTCCACAGTCAGTGATGATTTGGGCTGCCATGTCATCTGCTGGTGTTGGTCGACTGTATTTTCTGAAGTCCACAGTCAACGCAGCCAGGAAATGTTAGAGCACTTCATGCTTCCTTCTGCTGACAAGCTTTAATTATTGGTCTTATGAAGTATTCTAATTTGTAGAGATAGTAAATTGGTGGGTTTTTGTGAAATGTGAGCCAAAAGCATCACAATTAAAAGAACCAAAGACTTAAACTACTTCAGTCTGTGTGCATTGAATTTATTTAATACACGAGTTTCACAATTTGAGTTGAATTACTGAAATAAATGAACTTTTCCACCACATTCTAATTTATTGAGATGCACCTGTATATACTCTGTCTAGACTATATAGTGAAAAAAACAAACGTTCTGAATATCTTTTAGCTTTTTGTTTTGTATATTCTCTAGTTTGTATATGTTGTGTTCAGCAGTGTTTAGTACAAGCTGTTGGTAAAATAGGAGACAGATATCTAAAAAGTACAAATCATAAACCAAAAACAGGGACTGTCAAACACTAAAGCCCCGTTCACACGGGGCTGTCGATGAGGTTGCTAGTGGGCATTCTCAATACTGGTTGCCTTGACAGCGAATCAGGTTTCTTGCCGCTAAGTACAAACATTTTGGAGGCAAAAGACTAAATATAATCTAAATCTAAGTTAAATCCGTACATACAAACAAAAATTAATGAGAAACAGAGCCTACTTTATTCCATTGCGTATGCTTATCTACGGCGCTGAGAGGAGAACGATCACATGAGCTCTACCGTCTTCTTTCGTATTGGCTGTCGCTCCCGAAAGTCACCCTTCATTTGCATAAAGTTGAAGGATTCTGAACTTTGTCGCGTCGCTGGACATGCCCCATCCGGTCGCCAACGGCCACTGTCGCTCGTGTCGCCGGAAATCGCCAGCTCTACATTGAAATGAATGGGATTGTGTTGCTTTGCTGTTGCGTGTCGCTTGTAGTTTGAATGGGGCTTAAGAAGTTTGTCCAAACAACACAGAACTACTGCAGCAAAGTGACAGCAAACCTCAATATTTTCTCAATACTGGTTGCCTTGACAGCGAATCAGGTTTCTTGCCGCTAAGTACAAACATTTTGGAGGCAAAAGACTAAATATAATCTAAATCTAAGTTAAATCCGTACATACAAACAAAAATTAATGAGAAACAGAGCCTACTTTATTCCATTGCGTATGCTTATCTACGGCGCTGAGAGGAGAACGATCACATGAGCTCTACCGTCTTCTTTCGTATTGGCTGTCGCTCCCGAAAGTCACCCTTCATTTGCATAAAGTTGAAGGATTCTGAACTTTGTCGCGTCGCTGGACATGCCCCATCCGGTCGCCAACGGCCACTGTCGCTCGTGTCGCCGGAAATCGCCAGCTCTACATTGAAATGAATGGGATTGTGTTGCTTTGCTGTTGCGTGTCGCTTGTAGTTTGAATGGGGCTTAAGAAGTTTGTCCAAACAACACAGAACTACTGCAGCAAAGTGACAGCAAACCTCAATATTCACCATGAAGAGTTTGTTTCCACACAAACTGACCACAGAGAGCTTCACAAAGCCAACATCCATAAAAGAGACCAATAGTCAACAATGCTAAAATGCAAAAAATATGGTGTCGTGATCATGAAACCTGGACAGTTGGAGCACCACGATGAACTTCTTGGAAGCTGTATTAAAAGCAAGGGATG